CCTTTCACAGGGTGAGGACACTGCTACAGAATTAAATACAAGCTAGATCAAGAAGACCCCACTTATTGCAGGGATTGCCATTTTATGTAAATTTGTACAAAGCTCGAAGTGGCAGGCTCACATAGCTCATCTCTACACACTACTGTGGCACAAAGCAGCCTTGTTCTCATCATACTGAAGTAGTTATTTCCTCTTCTAGGTGAGGAAATGTACAAATGCAAGCAACAAGAATAATAGTGTGATTTGTTTCTGACTGTAAATGTCTCTGTAACTACATATGCAAACTAGGTATTGCCCTTGAAGACCTGGAGAGCAGCCAATGTGCCGTGCTTCCTTGATGTAAACACTTATGCATAAATAGCATTTCTTTTTACAGGGTCTGTACTACTCCAGCTTCCAAGTGTTCAGACCAAGATTCTTCTTCTGCAGCTCCTTATCTGAGCTTTTCTGCAGTTTCCTGAGTACCCTCTAAACAACCCTTACCTTTGCAGCTGCAAAGAGATCTTCCCTCTAAGATCTGAGAAGAATTCCACCCACATACAGTCACGACCATGCCAGTAACAGATGTTGCATCTCTGCATTTCCAAGGTGCCATTGAAGCCCTCACCGTTTTATCACACTCTGAACCACACTTAATCAGAGCTGCAAGGTTTCCTCCTGTCATGGGGTGGGTGTTTGTAGGTGTGTGAATGTGTGTGCACATATGTCTGTGTGTGTCTAGAACATCTGCTCTGTCACCTGTACACGTAGGTATGCATAAAGCCAGTCACCTGAGTCACAAAGTCTCAGCCCAAAATGGCCCATGCAGAAGTCTTCACTTTAATCAAGTTTTAAGAAAACAAGAAAAACAAATCTGTGGCATTTGTAGTAGATACATATGTAAAGAGAAACAAAGGATCCTCTCCTCCTCATAGGTAGACTCAAGTTGAATACTTAAAACAGCTACAGAAATAATATTTACACGTGTGTAAGGAGTATTTATTTTGTGGGTGTCAGTAGATATGAAAACATTTGCTTAATTTTGAAAAGAGTAATTTGGAAAATATTTTGTATGGTAGGATCCTTGGTATTTACTAAAGGAATTGAATTCTTTAAAAATTATAAAGAATTTACATAACTGATTAGGAATCGTAGACTTGTTGCAGAAAATAATGCATGCTGAAAGAATAAATATGTTCAAAGAAACAGATTTTGGCATCTCAGTATTCTTTCTGTAAGACTAGACTTTGCAAAGGGTCAAATTGGACAGTCTGGAGCTTAAATTCCTGTAACTCGCCTCACATAGCTCTTTTGCTAATGCTTATTCAATTAAAGAATGAGTCTATTCTAAAATTAACTGTGGCCACAGGGTCTAGTTTTAACAGGATGTTTCCATTTGTGAGTACTGAGTGGCTTCTTTCAAGGGAAGTGGGAGTTTCTGTATGAAACCAGTGGATCCACTGTACAGCTGAGGTAGAGAAGAAGACAGCAGGTGTCACAGTTGGGGTTAGTCCACACAAGAAAAGCTTGCCCAGAAAAATTAATTACACAGGGAGTAGGTGTGATTTTCAATACCACTCCGCCACTGGCCTATTTAAACTGGTCCACCTGCAGCTGCATTATGACTTCTATCATTACTACAATGCATTGCATCAGTTTTGGTTTCCATTCTTAAATAAACTGTCAGCTTATATTAACCTATGTATAGATATTTTCACGTGGTTTCCTAGTGGGAAAGGATTATGCAGTCATACTACACACATCAATCCTTACTATAATTCCTGACTGACCTTGTTAGCTGATTTTAATCAATCCCCAAAAAGCAGCAGAGATCTCAGACACAATTACTTTCCCACAGTTTTCATAAAGACGGATAAGCCAAGTGCAGGAAAGACTTCCTGTTATTGCTGGCATGAGGGACAGCCTGCAGTTAAACCTTTATTATACTCAGAAGAGGACCATTATGAATGCTTTTAAATGAAGGAAACGAGCCTTTTATAACCCACACCTTATTAGATATTGGAGATTCTAACCATAAGACATGCAGCAAGAGCAAACTGGACCTCTTGAGTCCAGCTGCTCATGGCAGTGTATGCCAGTATATCCCTATGTTAGTGTCCACCCTATCAGCTTGGCAGCATCCAAAGCAGGGCTGCTGCCTCTTTCCTCTACGCTGGCATAAGTGGCCCTGCAGAACCTTCCAGGAGCTTTTGCCTACAATAAAATTTCTGTAGTCAAATACACAAGTCATTTAAAAGTGCATGTGGTGAGCAGGGTTGGGGTCCAGCTGTGAGAACCAGCAAGCAGGTAATTTTGCTTCAGCCATGACAGATAGCTGGCTTCCTCACCGATTGGAGTGCACACTTTGCCCAGGGGGACTGGGGAGGACAAGGGTGGTTTGGGGTTTGTTTTTGTGGTTCTGGTTTGTTATTGTTGTTGCTAACATGTTTTTGTTATGTTTATTTTTTTGCAGGAAAATTCACTGAAAATCATCCATTTCACAAAGTGATGGATAGCTGGGAGGCATCATTGCCTGGTGGAAGTTCCTGGTTCAACTCTTGAATCTTGCCCAATGCAAATAAAGTATTGTCATACCCACCAGCAACAAGGAAAAAACTGCACTGAGGGTGCAAGCCAAGCACTCAGTACAAAGAATGCCAAAATTGAGACATACTCCATTCAGTGCTCTGGAGGGCAGAGCTTACAGAAAGAGAATCTGATTCCTTTTTGTCCTCCTTGTTCCACCACCTATAAAATACTCAGTGAGAATATCACAAGGCCTGCTCTTAGCACAGAAGTTTTTCTATGGGCTTTTTAGTCTCAGTCATTACCATGGTATCTAATAGCTTCATAAGACTTACCTTTCAATCCCCAACTTAAATAAGAGGGGTTTATTATTCATATATTTCTCATTAGTCTTTTGAAAAACAGATGTATCAAAACTAGAATTTGCCCCTCCAGTGGAAAATTTTTTCACATGTAAAATGTCCATGAAGCCTATTACATTCAGCTGCAGCTTAACACTAATGAAAGCAAGAAGACAGATTTTTATTATGGCTTCACAGAAAATCAGAACATACAAATAACCAGCTGCAGAGAGTTTCGTTTCAAGGAAAACTAAAACATGTTGAGAAACTATCACACTCAGCATCAGAGTGATGATTTTTGGACTCTCGGCTCTCAGAATATTACCTAGATGCTGAGTAAGATACCTTGGAGTAATATCCCAAGAATCTGTGTGTGTAGTACACAAAGCTACTTCAGGTAGGTGGTCAGGGATGCTTTGGACATGGCTGTGCTACAAACCCAGCCATTCTCCATAATTAAGTGCCTCTTTCATGGATTTTAATTTTTTTTCCCTCTGCCTGAAATTAGCCCTTGTTCAAAATGCAGCCACAGGGTCAGACTTTTAAAATAGTGCTGGAGAAACTCCCTTTACCAATCTCTCACCACATAGCAGCCCAGCATCTAGTGAGCTAGATTCAACTCCTGTATGACCAAATTGGAATAAGGTGACTACTTCTTGACTTCCTGAAGAGTAAACTCAACACACCCCATCAGCAGGAATCTGTCAGGGCACTGACGGCACATCAGTGTAACATCAAGTTACATCTTGATAGACCTCACCAGCCTCACCTGGGAGCCACACACATATGGCCCATGGGCGAGAGCTCTATTTAAACCCGGGTCTGGGGCTTTAGTCTCTGTCAGAGCTTTCTAGTAGATACATGTGTGTTTGGTTTGGTCTGGTCTCCTGCCTTGTTTCCCAACCCCATTGTAGTTCTTTTTCTAGCTGTGGCCTTATTGTCTGCTGCTCTTTGTACAATCTTTAGAACTGTTTTGTTGCTGCATCTTGTCCAGGACTGTCAGTGCTGCCACTGCCCTGCTCAGGTATTGTGGCAAAGTGCTCTGGCCAGTGAGTACACTGCCCGTCGCATGGCTACCCTCAGCTCCAGGCTTTTCCTCCCTTGAGCAGCAGCCTTGCTATTGCTGCTCCCTGAGAGCAATAGTACTAATGATAATTACAACAATAACGATAAATGTAAAGAAAAGGAGAGAGAGGAATAAAGTCCTGGAAAAACAAGTGGTGCACAGTAGAGTGCTCAGCAGACACTGACTGATGCCTAGCCAGTAGTTGCTGACTGGAGTTAAACCATGACAAGTGTTTCATTTGCTTTCATCTTACATTGAAGATAAACAGGAATTCGATGTGGTTGGTATGAACCGGGATTGTAACAGGGCTTTGCTTTGTCCAGCTCATCGCCTGCCAGCCCCCAGCCTCGGGAGCCCTCCAACCCCGCTATAACCAGACACTCAGCAGCTGACAGTGCTGTCCCAGCGATGTGTCATCCCAGTCACCATCACCTTCCAATGCTTTGGGTGTTTATAATAGAGTCAATTCCTGCTGTCCTCTAGTCATAGAAGCTGCCTTTCACCTCACAATCAGAGCCTGGCAGCAAATGTTTGCGTTGTCACATAGACTGAATATTGTGTGTCAGGGTACTCGGTGCTTGGATGGCTGCCACGGCATTTATCTTTTTCCACAGCATCCAGGCCGTGGAGCTCCTTTTTGTTGCCGGGTTTCTACTTGAAGGGTCAGACAGTCACAGGTGCGCATCACCCCGCGTTTACCCCGGGAAGGGATGACGAGCACTCAGCTCCGAGCAGCGCCGGCAACGCTGAGGGGACCGGCGCTACACCGCGCCCCTTCCCCCGGCCGCCGCTTGCCCGGCTCCCTCTCCCTCCTCGGAGCCCGCGGCCCTTCCTCAGCCGCGCCGCGGCACCGGGAGCTCTCTTGCTCTACTCCGGCAGCGCCCCGAAGGTTGGGCGAGGCCGGTGCGGGGAGGGGTCGCCCCTTCCCACCGCCCCCGGAGGAAGTGACATGATGACGGCGGGAAGGGAAGGCGAGGGGGGCCCCGTTCCCGGAGTGGAGCCGCCCGGCGGGTGGAGCCTGGCGGCCCCGCCCGAGCCGCCCGCCTGCTCCCGCCGCGTGCAAAGTAGTGGCAGCCGGTGCGGCTCGGCCGCCGCCCGCTCCCGGCGCCCCAGCGCGGCACGCGTGCCCAAGCCCGCCGGCGCCAGGTACGTGCTCTCCCCCTGGCGCCCTCCGCGCTCCGCAGGTGTGGGGCCACCCTCTCTTCTCCGCCCGGCTTCGCTGCCCCGGGCGGACAAACCAGCCCCGACCCAGCCCCTCCCTGGCGCTGCCGCGCCCCGGCAGCCGCCGGCGGGGCGGGCGGGAGAGGCGGGCGGTGGGCTGCGCGTACAAGTTCCCTGATTTAGTTGCCGCCGGGCTGGGTCTCCCCAGCCGCCCGGACCCGCGCCGTTTCTCCCGTGGCCGCCGAGAATTTTCCTGCCGCCTGCGGGCCCCCTTTGTGTGGCGAGCTCTGCCCGCGCCCGGGTTTCCGTGGAAACGGCGGAGCTACGGCGGCCCAGCCCCGCCGAGCCCCCTCTGCCGCGCCGGGCCGGCGTGCCGCCCCTTCCACTTGCCCTTCGGGGCTGGCCGCCCGGCGCGGCTGGCGGTGGCCGGGCACGGGGCGGGCGGTGCGGTTGCCCCGGGAACGGGCCGGTGCCATCGCCCCGAAGGCGCCGCTCCACAGCGAGCGGGCGCGGCGGGGTCCGGAGCGGGCGGGCCCGGGTCGGTCGAGGCGGGAGTCCGTGAGCTGAGGCGGGGAGAGGGGCAGTGTGCCTCCCCGGTGCCGTGCTCACGTGTTGTAGGAGCTCTGCCTTTCACCTATCGGCGTCTGTTCCTAAAGATGTTTAAGCGGAATTAAATAATGGCCGCGAACTGAGTTAAGGTGTGTCGGCTGATACCGTGTGGTGAACGTTATTTAAATAACAAGTAATGCTTTTTAGCATTTATTTCAACAAGTGAGCCCTCATTCGAATGACTGAAAAGACAACCCACGAAAGAGTCTTTTTCAACAATGTCACACCAAGACTTCTGGTCCTTATCTTTGTTACACATCTCTAAAAGTAGTGGTTTAAGTCCCTGTGCAGACATCTAAGAATGATGTACCTTATGCAGGTGCTTGTGTGGGAGAGAACAGCCTTGTTGCTACATGAAAACTGGGAATGCTTTACAATGAGGTAGAAGGATGCCAGAAACTCTCAAACAAAAAACCCTAAGCATATATTTAAAAACAATGATGCCTCTGGCCCAGGAAGTTGTTGTACCAGGCGATTGTAGCCTCAGCTTGTACTGATAATGGCTTCACACTAGAGTGAGTAGCAAAAGAATTAAAAATTGCTGGAGTAGAGAAACTGTTGAGAAACAACTTAAGCTGAAATTTGCGGCCTTTTGTTTTCTCTAACTCCTCATGTGAAGGATAAGATTGGTGTAGACATACAGAAGTCTGTTTATATATGCCAGGGCTACTTCGGTGTAAAGACTGCATGGATCAGTAGAATAGTTGATGTGCTCTAAATGTTTGCTGTCATTTTCTTTCTCTAGCTGGTTGTATCTGGTACAATACTGTGGTTTTCCAAACACAATGGATTGAAACACATATTTACTCACTTTAGAAATTTGTGTAAATATTACGTGTAGCTTTCCTCTTCCCTGTTAATGTTTTGCATTAACAATGCCTGAATAAGCTGTATTGAAAAATGAAACTTTAACTGTGTTTTATGGATGACAGGGCCAGGTTTCATGTGGAAGAATATATTGGGAAGCCTGCAGAGAAGAAAGAACATATTGCAAGCTGCTTATGGATAAAAGTTGCTCTTAAGTAAAGTTTAGCTGTGTTGTTGGCAAGCACTGTAACAGATTTTAGTAAGTGCCACACAACAAGGTGGAAGTAACGTATTTTAGGAGTGGAGAAATTGTACAGAGAGGTTAGCAGTTGCTCAGAGTCACAGAACAGAGAATGCTGTGCCCAGAGTACAGTAATTAACTGTGTTTCTTGAAGCTCAGTAGGTGTCGTTTTGGTGGGAGGTTGTTTTTACAGTAAGTCTTGCTCTGTCCAGCACAAATGCAGAGGTGCTGAAGCAGTGTTCATCTCCCTCGAGTGAGGCGTGCTCTCCTGGAGTCGTGGTTGTACATCACTCCCAGTCTAATGGACTTACTGTACCATAACAGACAGGAGTTCTGTAGGAGAAAGGGTCTCTTGCAGATGATGGATGAGAATCCTACAGCTGTACTCTGCCCTGCTGAAAGGGGTGGATTGTTTTTTCTGTTGTGTACCCTTGATTTTACTGCTGGAAGGTGAAGACTGGGAACAATACCCCTTCAAATCTCTTTTTGCAGGAAGACACTGTCACAGCTGCGCTGAGAGTAGCAAGGTACTATTCTTGTGTTGCAAACGAGCACTTGTGGCCCTTAGACTCTGTATTAGTAATTTAGTCTTAAATTTTAAGAATTCAAATTGCCACTGCATGATATGGAACACTATTTCCCCAACTGATATCATCACTAGTACTGCTGTCTGTGACACACTCGTCAGTGTGTCCTGATAAGGGAACAGGAGGGCAGCAGTGCATAGTGAGGCTCTGTAAATGTACTTTACTCAGGAAAAGCATTTGCAGCTGTGGGCCTTGCCTCTTAGGGAGAACATTATACCAGTCAAGGCAACTGCCTCATCAGGTGTGTTTGCTTCAGCTGTACTGAATGCAGTGGGCATTTTGTAAGGGGAGTAGAAATGTGACAGAACAGTACCCTGTGTGCTTCGATGCCTTTCAGCACTGGCTGTGGCAGCTGAGAGTGTGTTTTTTCCCTGAAGTGCTTTGTCTGTGGGGTGGCCTTGCCCAGTGATTCATTTTGAGCTGTTTGGGAAAGTTTGGTCACCAGTCTGTTTGGTGGTCTTGGGCTAATTAACATCTGACTGTGGTGAGTACCCTGATCAGCTCTGACTAATGCTCATGTGCTGCTCAGAAATGCTGACTCACTTCATTTTCATGCTTTCCCCTGTCTTCCTCCAGTGCCTCGAACTAGAAAGGAGATAGGGTCCAAGGGAAGGTCAGAGAAGGATGAAATGAAAATGAATGAGAGTGACTGTGTGTTGTAGCAAGGATGAAGATGCTGCAAAGACCCCTCTTTGATAATGTGAGAAAAGTGTGATAGCTGGAGTGGATTTGCTGAAAAGGCACGTAAGCTATGTGTTAGGAACTGAGCAGAGCAGTGTAGCAACTGTAGTGGGCCCACCAGGAGATGCTGGGTTTTGGTCCTGCTAATGGTCTGTTCTTGACCTTGGACTTAAAGCCTTTTTACTTCTTGGGCCACTGTTTTGACTTTCTGCCCTTCTGTCTGTCGTGTTATGTTCTGCCACAAAGAGCTTTACACTGAAATAATTTTCTGCTTCTTGCAAAAAGGCTGACCCAGCTTGAGGTTTCTACTGTAGCATAAATAACAGGAACAGGGAAAGGTAATTAACCAGTCTTAGGCTGGAAAGGAGTCAGAGATAGAGGTCACTGAGAGAGGGTTTACTTCCCAGAAGGTTAGGAGTTGCAGGCAAAGACAAGCACGCTGATTTCAGTTGCATGCAGGACTGTTAATATCTGAAAAACCTCTGATGTGCACTAGATTTCCTTTTAATTGTACCAACAAACTTAAATTTCAGTCATGGCTTCTCAGCAGGATCCAGGTGGATGTAAAGGTTTGTCCATGCTGGTTCAGTTGGCAGATAATGCAGGTTTTTTCATCTGTTGGATAAAGGATAAGACTCAACACCTACTGTTAAAGACAGGGAAAGAAATATATTTGTGGGGAGTCAATATGTGGAAATGGCACATGATTTCAAGTGACAGCTACTTTGTGAAAGTTAAACTGTGTCCTGCTTCTCTCACTGTCTTCACACATTGTAGTTTGCTGCTTCTTACCATGTTTTTGAGCATTTTGGAAAATAGTATTACTGCAGATACTGCTTTGCACTTCCAGAAGGTCTGGAAGCATTCTGCCTGCAAGCAGACTACAATTGCTCTTGAATAATTTATGAGGTTCCCCCCTTCGAGTCACAGGTGATTCCTCAGGAGTTAATTCTGTGATTCTGTCTCACTGCATGTTTTTTACATGCTTGTGCGTCTGGGTGTGTGCATAAATACTGCATTTCACCCAAAAAGACAGAAAAAAGCTTCATTTTGTATTCAAGCCTTGTAAAAGTATCTCAAAATACTTAAAGTAAGCAGGAGAAATGCTCAAAGCCAGGCTTTTAAAAGGACCTGGGTACATGCAGTTATTCAGTGATGTTGTAGAAAATCCAGGTAGGTGTTGATGTATATAATGCTTAGTTGAGTGCAAAATTTATAAAAATGTTCCTGGATTTCTAGCTGCATGTTTAGAAGCTGTTAACATCCACACACTTGCCATCCAGTAAAGTAATTGCAGTCAGATCACACATTGTCTCTGAATGATCTTGCTGGATGCTTAAGGTGGTTTTGACTAGCCCTGGCTGTAGGAGCTGAGAATCCAGGATCATTTATTAGTTACATCACATTTAGCTGTTTTGGAGTCATAATGTTTGCTAAACAACAGAGACAATTTAAGCTTGTTGAGAGATTTCTTCTGGCTTCAACAGATTTTGAATCAGATCCAAACTGAAACCTCCCTTTATTACTGGTGCCCGTGATAAAGGCTTTTATTCTCTGAAGTTCTCAAATTAAATCAGGCTGTTAGGGGACTGATGGTCAGGCAGAATGAGGAGGTTGAAAGTATTCCTAGTTCATGCTGTGGCAAAATAGTTCTGAACACTCCTGAGGCAGAGATGAGCGAAAACTGATGTAGAATGTGGCTGCTGATATGTGGGTAAAGCTGTCACCATGTTTATTTGGGTTTTTACCTGGCATCTGGATGTCTGGTTGTTTCCTGTGTCGGTACATCTGAGCCTTTCACTGAAGCTGGCACCTTATTTTTTGGAACCATGCCACCCACATCTCAGCTATAAGATGTTTTAAGTATTGGCTGTTAGGTCTTCGGGGCAGGAGTTGGTTTTATTTGAATAATAAATCTGGAAGCTTCATTCTTCAGTTAAACTATTTTTTACAAAAAGAATCATTAAACAGCATTTAATGAATAAGGACTAATATCCTGTGTATCTCTGTCTTGGTGTGGCTACATCTTTTGTTTGTACTGTCATTTCCAGTTTTGGGATGTGATTTTCGTAAAGGAGAGATTCAGCTACTTTATACTCTTCAGCATCATATGATAGAAGACAGACAAATTAAATCAATACTTAAAGGTTAAAAAAAGGAGTTGTGAATCTTTTTCTGTGTAATGTTTCCTTAGTATTCAAAGAGCATACTAATGTTGTTTCATATTAATTAAAAATATGCAAATGGCTTAGCTGAAGGAGACTGTCTCCTGTCACAGAAGGTACAAAAACCTAACAGCTCACTTGGAGCTGTAATCAGATAATGGCACTTCTTGTTTCCAGCACAGTTAACAATGTCTTGTGATTTGTACTGGAAGCTTTTGGATTCCCTCCTGGAGAAGGTCAGTGGTGTTGGCTCATACTGTGTGACTTGGAAGCGCAAAGAATGGGGTCTGTGCCATGTACCTGTTGCATCTGTGGCAGCAGGGCTCAGGCCTGGCAGGCAGGAGAGCATGGCTGTCTCCAGCAGGGGCCATACAGCTGCTCAGAGAGAGGCACCACGTTTGAAGTTGTCACACTGGGGTTTTGGGGACAGTAGAAAATTTGTTATGGCACACAGCTCAGTGGTGGAAGTCGCACTTGAAACCAGCAGTGCTGTCACCGTGATGTATTTCTCAGCTCAGGGACTTATGCCCAATCTCTGCCACAATTTTTAAGATTTTGCTGCCACAAATTCTGTGTTATACTGTAGTTGCACTTTCTGGTTTTTTTTAAATAAACAAAACAACAAAGCCACACAAGTTAGGAATTAGACTCCTAGAAAAAGGCTTAAAGACATTACCCAAAATTACTAAAATGTAAATCACAATATCAGAAAATATAAAGAAATCTTTCTATGGAAGTGAGGAAAGAAAGTTACCCTTTTCCCAGTGCTGATGATTTTTATCTTCCAGTTGATGTCTTTGTAGCATCTATCAATGTCTTTAATTCCTTCTAAGGGTCAGAATAATAGGGAAGACTTGTATTTGTGTGCACACACACGTAATAGTGCCCGCTTGGTGCTAAAGTTGTAAACTTGCAGTTTATGGTACAGAACCATCCAAGCTGCTGAATACTTGACTTGGATTTCTTGAGGAATGGAGAAAGGAAGTGAAAGCAGAGTGCATTAGATCAGCACATACATTCTGGGTTGTACAGGCGCAGTTATACCTATGGCAGCATCTGCTTCTGCTGAAGGTCCTTGTGGGATGTGTCCATTCCATGTCTGCTCCCTGTGTGTGACCTTTGCAAAGGTGTTGCAAGGCAGATGTGAGGGTGGGCAAGAAGGCAAAGGAGTATGAAAAGTACCATTTTGTGTTGAAAGCTGGAGTCTGGGGAAGTGGCAGGTTGTGGTTCTGCTGTTGGCTGTTCTGTGGATTTACTGTGTAACTTTCACAAGCTCTCTACCATGGGACGTAAGAGGGGAGCAGCAACAGGGATCTTTCTAGGTTTATTTCACTAGTGTCTTCTCAATGGCTGTAGCTTTTTCTGTCAAATGAGATGGATAAGTACAGGCGAAAAATGGACAAAATCCATAACTGCTTTCTAATCCTACATACATGAAGGATTTTATCTTGCATAGAGAAATGGATGTGCTCGTGTTAATAAGTCTGCTTAGAGGATATGAAACTCTTCTGCCTGGATACAACTGCTTATATGTTAGAGGTGTATTTGTCTGTTGCAGGATTGGAGTTGGGAGGCGATACTTTTATAATCTAACTTTGCAACTCATTGTGGGTAAGAACAGGAGGATTAAATATTTGAAGCTTTGAAGTAAATGTGATCCATGTTTCTGTGTTGCCTCACATGTAAATGTGGTTTGGATTCAGGGGAAGTATTTTGTCTGCTGAGACTGTATAAGCAGTTCCTGTACCTTGTTCTGGCTCTTTGTGTTGCTGTGAATATAATTTATAGTTCTTAAAACAAGGTGAGGGCAATCAGTGGCATAAGCTATGAGCCTTCATAGGAGTGGCCTTCTTTCTAAAGCTTATCTCTTATCAAGGGAATGTTTGGACTCCCAGCACAATTTTAAAAAGCAGCCCTGGTTTTTACCAACTCTTGAATAGTCCTTTGTCGGCCTTATTCCATACCCCCCTTTATTTGGGCTCTTTTAAAAGAAATGTTTTTCTAACAACCACTGAAGAACTCAGTAGCTACTCTTATGTTGGATCTGTTCCTGAAATGCCCAGTGTAGAGGTGATCAGTGTGCCCTTGATGCTGGACAAGTATTACAAGGCACGTGGCAGCATCCTGCTGTACTGCCCCTGCTGCCTCTGTAGTTTTTAATGTGTTCATTTCCTGTGTAAGTACTGATGGTGTGGATCTCACCCTTGAGAGATTTTTCTTAGGCTGTGCATTGAGGATCAGTGCCCTAACTAGACCGACTCTGATCTCTGTACTTCAAATGAACAGTTGCCCCAATTTGTCCGTGACTGTTCTGTACAAAATTTCAAAATTTCATATATCATAAATGCAAAAGCATCTCTGCTTACGGACATACATAGGTGTGTTTATATTTGCTAAGGCTTTGTTTGTTGCAAACATTCAGAATCAATAATTTAACAAACCACCTGCACTTTTGCAGAATGCCATAAGTGATTGTAGCGACTTTGTGCGAGCATGTTTGTAGGGAGGTTGTTTTTTATAGAGTGCCAGATGACAGTAACATGTGGGTCTGGTTACCTTTGATTAACCACTTAATGTTGTCCATGAAAACAAATATTAAATTGTCTGTGAGCATGGGATGTAGTTGCATGTCATACACCCTTTGTGGTTATTCACCTCAATCATTTTTGAGGAAATATCCAGGTTGATTTGTTAGTGTGACAGCATAGCCCACATCCTGCTTAGATTCTTAGTACACTTTCTTCTCATTTTTTTACTATTTAGTCCTGCTGTCTTGCTTAGTCCCTAAGTTTTACTTTTGTGTGGTGCTGCCCTTGTAATCTGTGCAAGTGACTTGTTAGATTAATGGACCCAGTTAAAGTAATGAAGCAAGAAAGGAAATAGAGGGACTGGACTCACTGGTCCCCAGGACTGAATTCTCGGACTGAACTCCAATAAACTCATCTACATCTTGAGTATCTTAATGCAACTCTTTATTTTTTCCAAGCAAATTGCAGATAATTGTGCTTCGTATATATTTATATGTGTATATATATATATATGAGTGTATTAAAGTACAGAAATCTGTGTGGGAAACAGCTGAACAGCAGCACTTGGCATTTTGGAAAGAAGCAACTTGCCTTCCAGTGCTATTTTTGTGAACTTCACGTTCTGCACCCGAGATAACTGATATACTTCACCCTCACGTATTTTTTGAGGATCTCTTTAGAAGCTTGGAACAGAAGTGCTTAACTTCAAGGGATTTATTCTTTCCAAATAAATACCTCCTCTCAGCGTCAAGCGCTGCAGTCTCTAAATGTTGCATCTCCAAGGAGTTTTGTATTGGTATGTGTTTAAGTTCATTTCCCTTCTCCCTGAATATTTCATGCTTCTGGAAAAAGGAGCAAGACTGAACTGCTTTTCACTAGAACTTGGGCAGTTGCTCCCCATCTTTCCCTCTCCTTCCCAGACTATGCATGCCTCTCTGGAGCTGCTGTCATCCTCCTCACCTTGCTGTATAAACATTGAGTCCAACAGGAGCTCTGCTGTGCCTTTTGCAAGTAAGGTATGTGTACACAGAGGACTTGTGTCCTGGTAGGCATGCAGAGTTTGTGTAGCTGTTTTCCCTACATTAGATCACAGCAGGAAGAAAATTTAAAAAGGAAAAGGGGAAACCATTGCACTACAATGCTGCAATAACCATTTGAAAACTCCCAGATTAATACTTCTATTTCTTCAGTTGACACTCTGTTATGCAAATGATCTCTCTGCTCACTAGAAGATAAACAGTAAGTCAGTTTTATAGCAAGTATATAAATTTGAAATTCTAGATCTTGCTGGTAGATGGTATGCATTCTTCAGCTTTTGAAGCAGCCAGACTGACTGATCTCTCCATTGTAACAATGTGTAGCTCAGTAATGCTGGACTCCTTCTAAAAATCTAAAAGCATTCCTAAATTCTCTTAACTTTAGGGAAGCATCTTAAGATATGCTCAAATTATTCCCCAGTTTGGGAATTTTTGGAGAAATTGTGGTGGGTTGACCTTGGCTGACTTGGTTTGCATCAAACTGTTCCCTTACTCCCCTTCCTCAGCAGGACAAGGGAAGAAAATAGGACCAAAAAGTTTGTGTGTTGAGGTAAGGACAGGGGGTCATTCACCAGTTACCATCATGGTCAAAACAGACTTTACTTGGGGAAGTTTAATATTATTTATCATCTGCTGATAACAAAGAAAGGCAGTGGAAAAAATGCTCTAGGGGGAGGTGGAAAGTGATTCAAAACATAATTAAGCATGAGGCAAATAGATAATTCTTCCTCCAGATTTGGGGTTTTTTGGTGTGGCGTGTACAGACACAGTCTCCTTGCAGATGAATACAGACCTGGATGCAACCTCACTTTTGCTAGCTTGGTGCTCCCTGACCAAAAGAGAAAAGCACAGGGGCTTCCTGTGACTTGTTTTGCTTATGTATTTCATGTACAGCAGCACTGTTAAAATATACTCTGATGTATATGCAGTGCTGCAATCTGTGCTCTTTTCACAGAATCAGTGAGGTTGGAAAAGACCTCAGAGATCGAGTCCAGTCTGGGACAGAGCACCACCATGTCAACCAGACCGTGGCACTGAGAGACAGATCCAGTCTTTCCTTTAAACACCTCCAAGGTGAGTGACTCCACCACCTCTCTGGGCAGCCCATTCTAATGTCTAATCACCCTTCCGTGAAGAAATTCCACTTGGTGTCCAACCTGAACCTCCCCTGGCACAGCTGAAGGCTGTGTCCTCCTGTCCTGGCTCTGGTTCCCTGGGAGAAGAGGCTGGCCCCACCTGGCTGCACCTCCTTTAGTGAGTTGTAGAGAGCAATGAGGTCACTCCTGAGTCTCCTTTTCTCCAGGCTAAAAGCCTCCAGCTCCCTCAGCCACTCCTCACAGGACTTAGGCTCCTGACCCTTCACCAGCTCTGTTGCCCTTCTCTGGACGTGCTCCAGCTCAGTGTCCTTGTAGTGAGGGCTCAGAAGCAAGTAATGCAGTACTCAATTGTGGCCTCACCAGTGCCAAATACAGGGCTTTTGGTGGCAACTGATACTGACTTAAAAGGCACTAAACTGAAACTGCTTAATCTGACCTGAGCATATTTTCATAATAGTCTTTGTAACTCTTCCATCCAAGAATCTGGTTTAGATGACAAAATGCAAGAATAGGCATCATCATCCGGTTGGTTGTTTTTAACTTGCAACAAAGCATTTGAACACTGAATCAAAGACTAGATAAAAGTGAAAACTTTCATGAAAGCTTGAAATATGTACTGAAGAAAAAAAGATATAGTGCTGACTTGCCTTTCTTTCTAAGTGGGTGATACCAGCTCAATCTAGATGCTGTCAGATACATACCATGTTGCTTTCCACACTCCATTAACTCTATATACTACATGAACTTTGGAAACAGGGGTTGGCACTTCTTTGCTTCATTTGTGTGCTTTCTCTAAAAGTGCAAACAGTTGTGAGTTTTTTGTGAAATCTCTAGTTGTAGTCTCAAAATACTTACTGCCTTGGAAGTATGAAATAGAGCTGTTCATTGGCAGCAGCCTCTGCTGGCATAGAGTTCTTCATGAGGCATATCACTTCTGTGACCTCCTGGTCAGTTAGTCTAAGCAGAAGGAAATGCTGAGAGTAGTTGAAGTAGAAAACACAGTGGATCTTGCTGAAGATTGGGAATTGGAGGGAAAAGAGTTAGAATGAATAGTCATGTAATTTGCTTTTAAACCTGAACATGTGACCTCTTAGTCACATGAATAGATGCTTGCTGACTTGGTCCCTAAACAGACATTTGAGGTTTGAGTCTTCTGTTCTGTGTCCAAAGGAAAAGTGTTATAAAGAATGTCTCTGTCTGGGTTAGATGCTCTAGCTAGCCATTTTCTCCTAATTAACTTAAAGGGGTGTTTGATAGAAGAGAGCTTCTTGGCAGCATTCTGATCTTAATAGCTTCTGAGAAAATGCATTGATTGGCCCTTTTGTTTTTAAAAGACTGCTGTAATTTTCAGTCAGTATCTATAAGGAAATCACTAATTTATTAAACCAGCATCATGGATTAAGAATTAAAGACCTGACTCTTTTATCACTTAAACTGGTGTTATGTTGATGTTACCCAGGAGGACTATTAGACAATGTGTAAGGTATTCCTGTGGAGTCTTAAATGCATGTTTCTAGACTTCATTCATAAGATCAGAACTGATTTTTTTGTTACTTGTACCAAGAATAAATTGCATTCTTGGAGTTTGGGTAATGAAAACAGAAAAAAAAAATCTTATGAGTTTATGTCTGAGAAACAGAAACTTAGCTACCATTCCATATACAATGTTTAGGTTGCATATTTTATAGGTAGTCAAAAGAGAAAATTTCTCTGTGTAGTTCCACTTTTTGGAGCAAAATAATTTAATCAATGTCTCTCATTTCTTGTTCTTTTTGCAAGCAAGTTAGGTTAGATGCCTTTGGATGGTACTGCTTAAGTAGATTTAGTTTGCCTTAAAACAGCTCTCTGAAGCTTCACCAAATTGAAATTTGATGGCTAAAGTAGCAAAGTGAGGAATTAATTACTTTCAGACATTCCATTGTGGCTTAACAAAATTGTAATGCAATAATTATGTTTTATCAGGGTTATCTCGTATTTGTTTATTTTATTTCTGTGAAGTTTTATTTTAAAGACAGCAGGAAGTGAATGATTCACATAAATGTAACATTTTAATAAAGTTTGGCATCTGTTATAAAAAAAGGTAACAAAAAATTGCTGGATTAATTGGAGGACAAAAAGACTAATTTTTTTTGCTACTAAGTCTATCTGTCATCTGCTTTCTAAGGTAGATTTATGTTGATTATATCAAATAGTGAGTTTTCAGGTCTTCACTAAGTAAGCAGTGCTCTGGTCTTTATTTGTGGCTGCTGTTTTTATGCTTTATCCCATGGCTTACTGATCTGTGGGAATTACCTACGTGTGATTGTGTGGGATAGAATTAAACAGCCAGAGCAGCACAAAAAAAAACTTTCTGATCATTTTTAGCCAAGGACGGTAGGATAAACCCAGTCATCAAGGTTTTGGACACTGTAGAGTCTTTGAAACCATCCACTTGCAGGTAGCTGGTTGCTTCTGTTCTGACTGTTTGAAAGAAAGTTGCTGCCTTTTTCTTTTTAATTGTTTGGCTTTGTCTTCTGAGTGTTCATTGGGCAGATTGGAGAAGAAACACAGCAGTGGTTCCTACTAGACAACATTTCTCATTCTGCTTAGCTTTCAACAACAAAGCCTTTGGTCAAAGCCCAAGCTAGTAAATTGTCTTCCACCCTAAGAATCATAGCTTTAATAGGAGGGTTTGTTAAAGCTGGAGAAGCTTTTTGCGAGTATCATGACAGTGGTTACTACAATGAATAGAGGCCTGTTCTACCATTCTGAGCTACAGCTGGTGTCAGCTGTGGTACTGAATAGTACAGCAAGATAAAGGGAACAGAAGGGCACATTTTGTCTGCTAATAATAGGCTTGGGACTGCCATAAACTCTGTATATAAATTATGCAACAATACCGATTGTCTTTCTTAAATTTTTCCTCATCTTCCTTGTGGTTGAAAATCTGGCTAAATAACTTCCGAAGGCTCTGCAACAATTCTTGTGTGTGCTCTTTGATGTGGCGAGCAGAGTCAGCAAAGGGCAGTAACAGAAATGTTTCAGGTCACTGATCTAGACTCAGTGCCTCACATAATGGGGTCTCATATAAACTAAAAGGATAGGCATAAAGATTTTTTTCATCAGTTAATTCCCTAGGCTGCTGACATTTGCTGTTTTGTTATTGCATGTGACCGGCACATTCAGAAATACTGTCTCAGGGCTTCCTCCCTGGGAAAACTCTTCCATGCCTCAGAGGGGGAAGCAGTGGAGGAGTGGAGCAGGATGGCAGAAGCACCTCCTGTCTAACTGTATTCAGACTACTGGGGGTTGTGTTTACTGAGAGATGTGTGTTCATTCTAGTGATGGTGGGGGGAGGTCAGTGCAATATTTGATAGGTCAGAATACTTTGCAGAGGACATTTCCTCTGAATGCTCAATTGCTAAGGTTGGACTGGACCTTTCCAAAATTATACAAACATATCATAAGTAACATGAGAATTGATTCCTTTCTGCAAACACTTCTGGGTCACGGGTTAGTACTGTTATTGATGTTTCATTTCTGGGTTTATGGATTATAACTGACAGAATCAGTGTCAAGGAATTATTGAACAAATTGCATGTATTGTGCATAGCCAAGCTTTTATTCTCTTGCCAAAATCAACTGTAATTTGAGTATGAGAGGGGAAGAAGACAATAAAGCTAGAATTAAGGGGCTGCTGCCTCTTGTTTGGGGACTATGGTCTGTAGAGAAAAGCACATCTCCTAACCAAGCTCTAAAGCTTGCATTTACTTTGGAGCTGTTCTTGAAGATTACGGAGGTGACAGTGTATGTCTCATGAAGTACAAACAATTCAAATAAAAATACAAGTTCATATCAAAACTGTCATGTAGTTCAAACCAAAATATTTGCTCATATTTTATCAATGAAAACCTTATAGAAGAGTATTGTAGTCCATGGAGTGGAGCCATATGTTCACAGGTTTTGCAGAGTTAAGATTGAAATTTAAGAATTTGTTTCCAAAGCCAAATGTAAATTGGTTCACAAATACAGTATTCTCTTTATGTTGTAACTTTTGCAAATACTGGCATCAGGTTTTTCCTACAATAGACTTAACTTTAAGTGTAAGCATGAAGTTTGTTTTAAGTCAGTCTATAGAGATAAATGCACTCTGTAACTGCTGATACTGTTTGGTTTTGCAGGTTGTCTTCTGAATTTTGTGTCTGAAGGTATCCTCTTGCTTTCTCAGCAAATCATGGACATCGTTGGCTTTCTGAAGTCGCAATTCATTTGCCACCTTCTGATCTGCTACATATTTATAGTGTCAGGACTGATCATTAACTTCATTCAACTCTTTACACTTATACTTTGGCCAATCAACAAGCAACTGTTCAGGAAGATCAACTGCAGGCTGGCTTACTGCATTTCAAGCCGTAAGATTTCTTTTTTCTTTTTTTTTTTGTTTTTTTTTTTTTTGTGTTTAAGTATTTTCATATTTTGCCTTGAGGGAATTGGTAGAAAATGTCTGAATTTCAAAGCCTGTATAAAGGTCACATCTGCTTCCAACAGCACCTGCACTTGTATGAAGAGATGTATGCCTTGTTGAAATGTCTTCTAGTGCTGAAATGTTTTGCTCTTTTATAGAGGGATACTTCCTTGACTCAGTATGTTGAAGTAAGATTGCCTCTCATTTGGCTATCCATCATGTTGCCTTAAACCAAATGAGAAATATTGACCTAGTAATGCATCTCAGCAAGTTCAGCTATTCAGCTATTATCTGTAGGCTTACAGTGTTAACCAGTCACTTCCAATAATGTTTTCCATCTTTTTATCACCCATGATTTTGTTTATGCTCTTGGTTTAAATGTTTCCTGTGCAAATCCTATTCAGGACTGGGAAATAACAGGAGAAAAAAAGGAAAAATGTTTGATTTCATGTGCTTTTTTCTTAGCCCAGTTATAAACTGTTTTTTCTTTGAATAGGATTTCAGATATTCAGCTGCATCTGTAAGTATTTAGTATGTGCATGTAGTTACAATGCAGAGTACAGCAGGTAGCCTGTAATCATTTGAAAGAAGCAGGGATTGAAATGATATTGATTTTTCTGGGAGAGGAGGGAGCATGAGCTCAGGATGTTGTAGGAGGAGCAGACCTTTGACTGCTGAGATGTTACTGTTTACTGGCACTTGATGAAGCAGGTAATTCCAGTGCAATGAGTGACAGCTGTACCCATTTGTTTGCTCTCTGTTAGAGGGAGTGTAGTGGAATCTTCACCTGACAACAGTGAATTATCAGAGCATTTGCAGTTTTCTTGTTAAAATCAGTTTGCTTATATATTTGCTTTTAAAGAGCTGCAACTGCAGTTTCAGCAGTTTTATTGTATTGCTCCTTCTGACTTCCACATAACTGCATTAATGTACAGCAGAGAGAATTCTTCACAGAAACTGTTACAGAAATGCTAATGTATGCACATTCAGTATTTAGGAATGTGCTGTTAAATGTGTCCAGCTTCCAGAGAGATTTCCCTGGGCCTATCTGAACCTCAAAAGTACTTTCTTAGAAGAAAACTGTTGAAAAATGCATGCCTTTGTTGCTCCCTAAAGATTATCCAGGTGTGATGTCATTGTCAATGCTAAGTGACTTATGGATGTTTTTGTACTGGGGAAAACAACCCTCCAATACAGCATTTAACAATTGTGCTGTAGAAATGCAGCAAAATAGTTTCTTTCAAGTAACCTTTTCTGCTATTAAATGTTGTTAGTATTCAAAATCAGCTGTGAGGTAGAAATTTGTCACATGCCTCAACTTGGGGGCCCACTAGGCATTATTTATCTTTCACCAGTGACTCTGATGAGTAAAGATTCAAAGCATATTTTTGAAACATGCTTCTGACTTAAATTTCAAGTGCATCAGAGTGTATATTCCCAAATAAATTTGGGATGCTGTTTTATTATTTTTGTAATGGAGAGATGTTCTTTCTGAAAAATTTCCTTTTTGCTGTCTGTGTGTGGGTCCCTGAAGTATTGAGTTTGCAAGTGCTATTCATTTGCATGTGCAGAGACTGGTATTGAACCTGGCCAGATTCTTACCTTTTGCCTGGCAGCACAGTGAATGTTTGAAGCCATAGCATGTAGAAGATACTGTACAGCTGTATATAGATATATATTATTATTTTTCATGCATTGTCTTCTGGCCCATTCTTGCTTTTGGCTACTTGGTGTAGAGAGAGCAGCTATTCTACAGTCTTCAGGCTGAATCCTTCAGTTTATCTCAATCTAGTCTGATCTGGGGAATGGACAGTATGGAAGAGGGAGTAATCTTGAATGCTTGTCCTTGGTGGGGCAGATGGCTTTGTACTCAGGGTTGTTGATCTCGTCTTCAGTGTTGATGCCACTGGAATAGATTGTGTTGTCAGGTTTTTGCCCAGTCATGCTGAGAACAAAGTATGTCTAGGTTAAAGCCATTTATTTTAGCTTTACAACAGAGCAAGCTAGCATTTGATGAGTCACCCTTATTTGAGTGATATTTGGAAAGGGGAAAATGATGGTTCATTTGAAAAACTGTTTCAAAGAACTAAAGACCAATTAATCAAAATGGATGTGTTTTTGGGGGCCACTGATGTGGTGACTAATAAGTGAGGTGTGTATGGGTCTGATGAAAGCCATGGAAACAGCCTACAGTTGGAGACAATGAGGTTCAGCGCTGGAGAATATAAAGGTGTGTGCTTTTGTGGTGGTGGCAAGAATCATGTTGCCTTGAGAGCCTGATGCAGCCTGACCTGAGTCACCAAGTCAACCAAAGAGTGAAATAGAGCAGGCATGGTTTAATTGAAAAATGAAATGAAAGCAGCAGTTGTTCTTAGATCCTGCAAGTTCAGTTGTTTTCCATTTGATGTCAAAGGTAGAGATAAATGGCTCCATGAAATTGGAGAGTTATTTTGTCTTTGATGCTGTGCTCTTTGGGCAAGTTGGAGGTTTTTGTGTTTCAAGCAGTGGTATTTTCTTACACCTTTTTTTTTTCCTACCTCCTTTCTAATAAAAGAATGTAATATTCTCACTTCCCCTCGTCCACTGTCTGTTATCATGATGCATATGGGAAGCTAAAGTTCTCTTGTGATTAATGACTTATCCTCAGTTGAGTAGTACAGCTTGAGTTGGGGTGCATCTCTGTTCAATGGATCAGACCAGACTAGCTTGAGTTAAAGTATCCATGGAATCATCAAGGTTGGAAAAAGACCCTTATGATTGAGTCCAACTGTCAGCTCAGCACTGCCAAATCCACCTCTAAACCATGTCCCTAAGAGCCACATCTACACATCTTATAAATATCTCCAAAGATGATGATTCAAATCCTGGGCAGCCTGTTTCAGTGCTTGACAAGCCTTTCCATGAAGAATGTTTCCCAAATATACAATCTAAACCTTTCTGGGTGCAGTTTGAATCCATTTCCACTTGTCCTGTCACTTTTTACTTGGAAAAAGAGACCGATCCCCACTTTACTACAACCTCCTTTCAGGTAGCTGTAGGGAATGATAAAGTCTCCCCTGATTATCCTTTGCTCCCTCAGTTGGTCCTCATAAGCCTTGTGCCCCAGGCCCTTCAGCAGGCTCATGCCATGAGCTGGCTGCATGGAGTAGCTGTGGTGTGGTAGTTGAGCGCAGGTAGCTGTGCAGGCTGCTGCTTCTCTGCCGTGAGTTTGGCACCTGCACTACAGCTGCTCCCCATAACTGCTGACAGCCCAGACGGCTGAAGCCACAGACATGAAACTTCTCATCAATGCAAGTTAAAGAGCTAAATACCTTGTTCCTAATTTGAATTGACAGAAGGATTAACTAGAGCAGCAACTTGCTTTTAATGAAGCAGGGCAGGTGTAATGGCATATACCAAGTTGCCTTCAGCAACTGGTGGTGAGAAGTTATTGCCATTTTTGTAACCAGTTGTGAGTCAACAGGGTCAGCTTAGCTTCTCTACTGACCTGCTCCAATATGTAATAGCATTGGGATGCTCTCCAGAGGGTGTGTTATCCATTCCCCATATTGCAGTTTGGGTTGCTTTTATATCTCCAAGATACTTCTCATACTTTACTATGAGTAAACTCATCCTGTTTGATCCTGGTATCCCATTTGACAAATACATACAGAATAATGGTTAGTTCTAGTGCTATGTCCTCTGTATGTCTTGATCTTTACTGAAGAGTGTTGTTGCAAAGAGTGGACATCCAGCTTCAAAAGAAAAAACTTTTGTCTCTGTTGGTCTTGAAATGTGCCAAAAGATTGGTAAGGGTTATGCACCCTTTTTCATGTTTAAATAAACAAACCAAAAAATCTCCAAACAAAGAGCAAAAGAAACCACACACACAAGAACCTAATAACCCTTCCAAAATAAAAACAGGACACCAATATCTTAGGGCTTCTATATTGCAGAAAATATTTTCTGGCTTCAAATATATATTCATGGATGGGTTCAACTGCCTGTTAATCCACTCCCCCTTTGGTAAAATGACAACCTGGATAAACTCTCTCATACTGAAACCAACAGAGTGCACCCTATTAAGGAAATTGAGCCCTGCAAACCTCAATAGGGTGATAACAATAAAAATTTCAAACATAAGTGTGCTTGGAAGTTGGCGTAAGAGCAAAGGTTGGGCAGGCAATCAATCGTGGGTTTTATTTTTAAATAATTTAGGAACATTTTGTTCTCAGTTTCTTCTTCTAAAAGACAGGAACCACAGTAGGAAGCACTTAGTGTGGAATACATCACAGTTCTCACAGATGCTGTTTGTGCCTGAATTGGAAGTGCTGGGAATACACCTTACTCCTCCCTCTTATGTCATAGCAAACCACCACAAGGGGTGCACACGGCTTTCCTGCAGTAGCTTGTACAGTTGGCCAAACACATCGAGGGAACAGGTAGTCTTGGGATTCATGCCCTATGTGCACATGGCTGCACAGCTTGCTGGGCAGTGGAAAGGTGGTTTGTACTTCCCAGATCACTTTGTGCTTGCTTGGCTGTTGAAGTGCAGCCCCAGGCCAAGCACAAGAGTGTGCTGGAATCCTGTGGACTGTTCAGGAAACATGCTTAGACCGTGAGAGTGGGACATACACTTACAGGGTACGTGGCTTCTTTAGAGGTGCTGAGTGGAGGTATTTGCCTGTGAGTAGAGCAGTGTTGTTATCTTGTCCTCTTGCTGCCACTTTACTGGGGGGAAATGAGCTTCTGTGCCTCCAGGGTGAGTGGCAAAGTGGCCTCCTGTTGACTGTGCACCAGGTGAAGGTTGCATAAACAGAACACCTGGCAGTAATGACATGGTCGTGTGGACATGTGCACAAGGGCCTTAAAAGCAACCAGATTAGCTTCTAATCTGCCTTCATAAATAAATGATAGTAGTACTAATACCTATTGTTATGCCCTGAAAGGGGTGCTATTACACCGCTG